CGACCCGCGGACCCCCCCCCCCCCCTCAACCCCTTCCGTTTTGGTCGGACGCAGTCGATGGTTGTCAAAGGACATCATAGAACTGCACACAGTTCCCTAGTAAAGAACCAGGTACTTCACGAATAGTCCTTGAGAAGTTATTTCCATGTTGTGCGTACCATTTGACATAAGAATACAGCAGAGGTTAACAGATCATAGATCAGCGAACGTGCCGCTTTGAACCGTTGAAGTACGATACGCATGTGTATGCGCGGTGTTCCTTGTCGTACAAGCAGGACATAGTCAAGGGGACCCTCCCGGGTGGCGTGCGTCGATTCGATCAAGGCCGGATTCCCCTGGCGGTCTCGGCATTTGACGTGTCCCGCCTGACGACGAGGACACTGGACGAGGGGTGTATTGCCCAAGCCCTCCGAGCCACGTGCACCTTCCCGGGCCTCTTCTCCCCGGTCTGGCACGACCGAGGTGTTTTGGTGGACGGTGGGGTGCGGGACACGACCGGTACGCCCTCCGAACTCGCTCTCGTTTTGGTTTCTGTGCTTGCTTCTATCGCCGTGTTGCTGCTTATTCGATGTTTGTCACAAGCGATCGGCTATCTCCCCGGTATGGCACGACCGAGGTGTTTTGGTGGACGGTGGGGTGCGGGACACGACCGGTACGCCCTCCGAATACGCTCTCGTTTTAGTTTCTGTGCTTGCTTCTATCGCCGTGTTGCTGCTTATTCGATGTTTTTCACAAGCGATCGGCTATCGTATGTGTGGGCCTGGCCCCTCCCCGACCCCAGGCCCGTTGTGGTCTATGTTCTCCACACCGAAATATAATGCGGAAAGGTTGGGAACGCGTTGTTGACCCTGTGGACACACGCAATATACATTGTCAGATGGCGTTGTTTGAGTAGAAACGTAAAGGGGAACAACGAACTCGTCGTGAATGTTTTTCACAGTTGCGAACGCTCACCTTCTACCCCCGCTCGCCCAGAAGAGTCGTTAGGAACGATTGTGACTGGGATGTTGGTTATGACTAGGGGGCAGCTGGCTGAGCAGAAACCCTCGGCAGGTGAAGCGACTGGGCTAGACGCCCGTTCTCAAGCGCATGCTCTCCCTCCCTTTCCTTTCTTCCTGTGTCGCTCTATATCTTAAAGTCTTATCCATTTAGTCACCCTGTCCGTTCGCGCTTGTTACTGCTGATGATGCTGGTGCGGTCGCGGGCAGGCATGTGGTGCGTGCCGGAGGAGCGACAGGACTGCCGCCGCATTCTGAACGTGACCTTTGGTAGCAGGAACGGCAGGGGCGTGTGCGTGCCGCCGTCTAGGTATGTGGCAGTACCTTCTAACGTCTGCGCACCCTCCACCCCGCCGGTCTACTCTCTTTTGAACGTATGAAGACCTCGAGCTTTTACAGGGGCTGATATTTGGTTGGGCGGCCAGAAGCCTCTCGTCCTGCTTTAGCCAAAAAATGGATCCTCCCTGATCCAGCGATCAAGCGTTTGGGGATGAACTTCTTGGAATGTGTATGATGGGAGGGTATTAAATTGTGTTCCGTTCCCTCGTCGAGCGACGAGACTGGTCACCCCACGTGAGCAGACGGTGCCGTTAGCAGAAATGCCGCACAGCCCGTTGCTGCGTGCGCGGGATGTGCCGTTCGCAAGCGTCTGTGCGTGGTGGTGATCGAGGCAAAGTTGCCAACGACTAGTATTCAGTTCGTGAGAGTGCTCACACTCTGGAGACCCCGGAGCAGCAAGCTATGGCATCACGTCGGATTGGCACCGGCCATCAAACTCTGGCATCGCTCCTTGGTCTGCACGGTTGTCGTGCTGTGTATTTCGCTCCTGTACAAAGCAGCATACACAGCGGCAAGGCGAGACTATGTTTGGGTAGCAGCGCCGGGAAAACGACATGCCAACATCATTGACTGAGTGATCAATGATGGATACAACCTCGGCAGCAGCACGAGCGAGGCCTTTCGCGTCGTGCTCGCAACATGAATCTAGCAGAAGGGGTTTGGGCGCGAACAGAGAAGCGCGATAGTCAGCCAACATCAATACACAGTCGTCCAACAGTGAATCAGTATTGCTTCTGCGGATCGAATAATTCATTGGGGAAGTGTATTCTCTTTGTTCACGCATCTTCTTTGACACTTATGGGACTTATCGGGATCTCCGACTCGTCCAACCAGCAGTCGTTGTTTCAACGTCGGTCACGTCTCGTGCGTTTTCAGTTTCCCTACCGCGTCCAATCCACGGCCTGCCCCTGACGGAATGGAGATCGTGTCTCTTCCGCTGACTGGCCTACCGAGGCCTCATCCGTTTGCCATGGAGCGAGGCGTGGATGCGATGGAGGTGTGTGTATGTGGATGCTTGTGCTATGTCGATTAGCATCGAGTGCGCTTTGTGTCTGTAGTTGTATTTCTCGTTTTTGCAGGAATGTCCTTGATTTTGCTGCCTGTGTCTGTGGGTCGTGCAGGTGGCATGGATCCTCACATTTGTTCTTGAAGTGCGTTTTGTATTCCTTTGGGTGTGTTTCTGACCACCCCGGCCGGTGAAACTGGCCAACATTCGTCAACTTCAGCTCCCGTTTACGTGTGTTTTGAGCCCCACAAGTACGAACAGTCCGTGTTTTCGGCACGCAGTACACATGCGCGCGCCAACGCCACAACGGCAACATGCTTCCTAGTCCGCGGGATTCCCCGAAGAAGGCTGCCAAGGAACTGTCCTGCCTGAGGATTTGGACTTCTAAAAAACAATATTCTTTGAAGACCACCGTACTGGGGCAAGTTGTGAATATTTCGTCGGCTAGCGTCGAATGTGGTAGCTGTCTGAGTCAGCCAAGAGACACCAAGATGTGAAGGGCGTGATAAGATCTTGGCTGCCAACCCAGGGCATGCCCTCGGTCGTACATACCTGTCGAGCCCGCGTGTCAATGAATGGAACGTCGCACCCGACCGAGGCCTACGACAACACGGCCCCCACGCCCCCCGCTCCCGTCTTCGACGGTCCTACGCGGGACTTCGTCACCCACAGGCGGCTCGGAACCAAGTTGCTGCGGCGATAGGAGAGCCTCTCTTGAAAGGGCATGGCCGATCTCATTGGATCGCCGCCACTACCGCGACCCAGCCACCGCCGGCCAAGCGCGCTCGCCGGGACGGTAGCGGCATCCTCAGGGAGAGTTGCGTTGCCGCCAGCAATGACGCAGTCTGCAGCAGCGGCGGCAGCAGCGCAAATGGGGAGCGTGGGGAGGCGGCAGGCGGCGTAAAGGTGAAGCAGGAAGGTGGCATCTGCGGGCGTAGCAGCGGCAACAACACCCCCAGCAATGGCAGCTGCAGTAGCAGCACGGAGTTAGCGACTGGTACATGTAGGCGTGCTTGTCCCGCCATAAGGGCAGACAAAGGCACGGCTGCGCCGATGGGGGTGGACGGATCAGCAGTCGGAAGTAGCTGTCCGAGGGGCGCAAGTGCGGACACCCGTGACACCGGGCTGGTAGACGGAAGAGCCGACCGCAAGAGGAAAGCCGAAGGGCCGCTTGTGCCACAAGCCGCATGGAAGCAGAGGGACTCCAAGAGGAACCTCCCGTCGCATGACATTGCGTGCCTGGGCGAGTACAATGAGACTGCAAAATCGTCAGGTGGCGCCGTGACTCCCAGCGAAGCTCGCACAACTGGAGCAGCTAGCGGAGGCGGCGCGTACCGTGCCTTGGGTAGTGTTGAAGCCGCGGGTGCCGAAAATGTAAGTGGGTATGGCGTCGCAAATCCGCCCGCACGCCATGAAGGCAAGCGCACTTTTGAACATGTCGGCAGGGAAGGGTCAGTTTCACCATCTCGCATGACGAAGAGACCCCGATCGCCCACAGCGGAGATCACGGGATAGTATATGCAGGATGTTCGTCTTGTGGATTATGGCGCCCTAGATTGATTGAGGTTTGGAATGGGTAGAGTTTCATGGCAGGGACTCGGGGGATGGGAGAGCATTTGGCGGCCGCAGCGCGTCCGTGCCCATGTCAAGCAGAACTAGCCCTGCGCAGATTTGGTACTTGCCCTTCTTCAGATCAGACCAGTTAATTTTGGTGTGATAAATTGTCTTCGCGTGCGCCGTTGTGGCCACTTTTGTCTAGACAGTTTTCCATGAATGTGTGTGTTTCATTGGTTTCGATCGTTGTACGGCCGATTCCCCCCGCCCCCCGATTATTCGATGCGTGGTCTCCTTGTGGTACGTGCCTGTCTGGCTGCACTCGGCCCTGACCGTCTGGACGCAATGCGCCATCAAGCCACCCGGTGCTGCGATTCTTGACTGCTGAGCTCTCGCCGCGCTGATATCCTTTAGACGGTCTTACCCAAGGGAAGGGCACAGTGTGATAAGGGGCCAACGTGGTGTGCATGGGCCCGAACATCGAACACGTCTTTGCCACGCCCCGCCAGGAGCCATTGAGGCGCGGCTTCCTTAGCACTGGCGTCTGCGGGATGCCGTTGCCGTTCAACCCGATCATCAGCTTAAACTTGGATACCTTATCGTCAACGCATATACCTGGTACATGAATACAGAAGCAGGGCACAGAGCAGAACGCTCGTCGGTTTCGTTTCAACTTCACAGTGGAAGTGATCATCACGATTATCGCTCTTTCGGTCTGAATGTTCTTTGGCGCTCGACACCAACCACATCGACAATAACCACGACGACGATACCTACATCGTTTCCCGTTCTCTCCCCATCCACGGAACCATAACCAGCAGCGAACGAGGTTTCACACGAGATGTGATGAAATGAACACCCGAGTTCAGAGATCAATGGACGCGAATTGCAGTTTTTCACTGTGTCGACTCCGCGTGCACACCCACCGATGTACTGCAGGGGATAGAACCGATGTTGTATCATCCAAACAGTACGTGCTGTGGGCAGCCACAAACGAAAAACAGGAGTAGTCCAAGATCGATACTAGTTGCAAGCATCGACACTGCCAGCAGCAGCAACGTCAAGCGACAAGGACGACATGTCAGCTGATCTCTCACCTTCGCCTTGGGGCATCGAGAGGTCCCTTCCTCGCCCAACCTCCATCCCAGCGCGGCTTTCGTCGTGTCTGGCGAAGTTCTGTACTGGAAAGCAATCCCCAAGTGTCTACATAGCAGCGCGATCAAGCCCTACAGCAATGAACATGCTGCTCTAATACCCTATAGTTTTGTGAGAGTGCGAGAGCACGAGTCAACGGGGAGCGCTACCAGTTTCGCTGCGATGTCGGTCATATTGTCCTGGTCCTACAGTAGGATAGTGTGAGCCAAACGCGCCTACGTGTAGAATGCATACGTCCGGTAGGGGTGTTGTATTTACGCATCACAACGAGTGGGCCGCAATCCAATCGAGCCGCTTTTCTTTTACGGGTCCACCCAGTGTTCCAGAAGCGTACCACAAAATATGCGGTATTCCGCGTAAAGGGCATACATCTACATGCCGCCATCTAAGGTGGAAAACCCACGGCCTACTGCTGTGTTGGCGCCACAGCAGTCGTAAAGGGACTCGTCTGGTCAGCAGAAGGACACGCTCCGCTGGTGCTTCCCAACGTAAGCGGTTCACAGGTTTGGGCGTCATATCATATGTTTGCCCCAACCAGTGGTTATGGTCCAACAATGAAGTTGACGATCATGGACAGCTGTGCGTCGAACAATGCAGAAGGCATGCCGCGCGCCCGTACAGGAAAAGCAAGCTAGAATATCAACTGACAACTCATCACAACAGGCACGGCCACCTCACATCACTGCATGAGAAAGCAATGTCAGCATGTTTGCCGGCGTTGTTAGATGCGACCCACCCCATACAAGCCACGGGGGTCCATCTTGGCCAACACTTTTACTTCCAAAAGGCATCATGATGTGCTGTCTTGCGCTCGAACGAGTCTCGCCACACGCAGGAATTTCCGCCGTCGATGCTCTCTCAAGCACTTGTGAACTACTGTAAATTCCAGCCAACTGACCCATCGAAAAGAAAATCTGTGTCACGCCGCGTGAGGGCACCAATAAACTCGATGTGTACCAACCTCTATTTTGGTTCTTAGTGAGTCCAACTGTTGTTTGATACCAGGTATGAACGATTTATGCGTCAAGCAATGTAGACATCCAAATGTCGTCCAACATCTAAGTGCAAGGCGTTGGAGGGAAAGTGAACCCCACACTTTGTGAACATCGCTGTGAAGGAGAGAGTGAAACGTTGTGCGTGACGGCATGCCGCGGCACGCCAGCAATGACCCCAGCATTATTGAGATCCTACTGACTCTCTGTGGCAACCGCCGAATTCATCGCTTGTCACACGCCGGTATCGCTGGCCTCTTCTTCTCCATTCTTCACAGCTCCTTTTCCGTGAAGGAAAAATTGACTGTTCGATCGGGACTTCAATATGTCCAGTTACGACGATAGGACTGGAGCTGCAACCGCGCCGGTGACAGCCGAACCCCCAGCGGCAGCGGCAGCAGGAGCATCGTCATCTGACCGTGTAACCTTGGAGATCAAGGGAGCCAAACTCAACGTGAGCAGGAGGTCATTTACCCGTACTTCGACGGACTGCCTCGAATTTCCTTCCTCCGATTGATGCTTGGCCAGCTGTGAACGCGCCGTCGTCCCTCGTTGGATGAACCCGTCGCGAGTGGTGCCGAAGTCGGCAGATTATAATAGTGGTGAAAGCAGGTATGTACAGTAGTCAGTTTTTTTCCCGCGGAACCTTCGTACGCTTGGAGTCAATGCCAGCTGAAATCCCGCCTTCAGACCTCGAGAGTTCATGGAACGATGGACGGCACAGAACGGTAGCGAACTGGTCGGCATTCTATTCCACGTGTGGGTAGCTGTTTACACTAATTTGTACACTCATCTGGGAATCTCACTGGACGAGAATATTTCACTCTACTTTTGCCTACTGCGGTAGGGTAAAATCGTTGCCTACTGCTGTAGGGTCAACTCCTTCCACTAGTCTACGGTTGCATATGTTCGTAGTCAAGGATGACTATTATAGCTCACACTTGAGATGAAACTTCCAAAAGCCGAGGTGTCCTCCGCAACACCTCCGATCACCATCGAAACAATGGCTCAGAAGGTTGCCAGGGACTTCATTGTTCATTCGGTCACTTTTCGTATGAAGGAGTTCGGGCTCTGGAGGACCCACATTCCCACCTCTGTATGGCAGCTGTCAAGGGCCTTCCCACACAGCCTTCCCCAGGCGAAATATCAAAGCTGGTACACCGTGTCTTTGGTCATACGGCAGGTTGCTATCCAAAATGCACTGAGGAGGAAACGCAGTCACGACAGGTCTCCCGTGCAAGGTGAGCTGAGGGCAAAACCCTTGTGACTTTTCCCACGGGCTCGTATCCGGTCTGCCCTGGATACGGGGATGATAAGATGGTGTGATAGGTCATGATCGCACAATCAGACGGTCCGTTATCGCGCCTAGGCCTACCTGCTCATGTTTTCTGGGGAATGGGTACAGTAGCATGGCCATGTATCCAACGCACCCGGCATTAGTCGATCCCTGTCCGTGTTAAAGTTTTCAACAAGTGGCTTTCTCGCCTCTTTGAATGAGGTCCGGACCTTTTTTTGCTCTGTGCTTCATTGTGGAGGGAGACTCTCATCAAGCGAGCGACACTTACGAGCACCCCCAGGCGAACCGTGCACGATTCGAAGAGCAGGAGATGGATTCGATGTCTACTGCCGTTGAGGCGTTTCTCCCTCTATAAACACAATGCTACCATAGATGACGTGCGCGACCATTTCGACGATAGAGCGTTCACCGCTTTTAAGCGGCTGACTCGTTCCCCGCTCACTTTTTCACCGGTGTTCAGGGCCTCAAGACCGTGCGGATGGCGGTGACCGCGACGGCCCAGGGTGCCAGTATTCCAACGACGATGGCAAAGGTAGCATCAGCAAGAAGGAAGGACCCCGTTCGGCGGGAGGTGCGAAAGCAGCAGCGGCAGCAGGGATTCCACCGTCAGACAGAGTCTTCGGGCTCTCCGTTTCCAGCACGGTCCAAACCTCCCGTCGCGGTGATAGCGAAAACATCCAGGAAAATGGTGTCCCTGCACAACACTCATCTTGGGGCGAAGCGATTCACTATTGGCGACGCTTTACGTCTGTTTGATTTCACTTTTTTCCTCTTGCATGACCGACTATATATATTCCCCGTGTTTGACAATCACGTCACGTTGGATCTGATCCTCCATAGCGACGAAGTCAGCAAAGTGCACTGTGTCAATGAATGCGAAACATATGACGCTACTCAGAATGAATCTGCTCAGTTTCAGGCACGTCAGTGAAGGAGATCGCCTTGCTGAAGGCTGCTGCCGAGAGCCTCCGCGCGGGGATAAGGGACAAGGAGGACGCCGTCACCGCTCTGGTCAGTGAGGGAGCGTGTCGAGGGTGGTGGCTGCACGATGAGTGCTTCAGACAGTGAACCTGCATGGTAGTCCCATCGATTAGTACGTCTCGGGCGATCGCAATGTGTTCTCCGTTGTCTTTGCAAGCATCCGACGAGGCGCGGCCCTAGCTCAAACCTTTCGACACCCGGCAGCAAAGCGTTTCAGTCTTGCTCATTCACCACCGCCTAGAATTGAAAGTCATCTTCCCCTCGTTGCGAAGGACGGCACTCAACTGATGAGAGCCGTCGTAAGAAACCCGCCCTCTTTCGTCCAGGGAGTAGCCGCATTTTGAAGCCGCCTAGAAGCGCCTTCCTGACAATTGGCTCATCCACAAATAGCCACTGCCCTTCTACGAACGCACCTCCACGTAGGAGAGGGACAAGGAAACCTTGCTGGAGAAAGCGTCTCAGCTAGAGTCCACCATACAGGAAAACTTCAGACTCAGGCAGAAGGTCACGGAACTTGGGCGCCAGGTAGAACCACAGGAACCCACTGGTCGCAGTCAGGGTATGTCGTTTTCTCTTCCTAGTAGTCGCTCTTCTCCCGCAGAATCAGCTTTTCGTACGCTCTACGTGCTACGCGTCTCGTTATTATGGTTGGCACGGAGTCGTACGCACCCGGCATTTACACTTGCCAAGCGTTAACCTTAGAGCTGTAATGACTCCCCATCATCGCTGTTTCGTTGGTTGCTCTCCTCGGTTCCTGCAGTAGGAGCAGGCTGGTTGTTATTGTTTCCTTGCGCTGTATACGCTGTCGTTGCTGATTGATTTAACGTGGTTGTTATTTTCGCATCTTCACCTTCCATTCCTCTCTTGGTGCCTGTATTTCGTTGCGTTCGTGTTCGTCCACCTTGACGTGCTTCCTTCGTTGCTTTCTTTCGGTCTTGTTTGTGAGCAACGCAGATCGAAAGTCTCAAGGCAGAGCTTGCGAAAGCGGAGGCCGGGCGGGCCCTCACCATGTCGTTAGTGGAAACACTAAAGTCTGCGCAGAATGACCTCAGAGCTTCCCATGCCCAAGTGTCCCAGAGGTGCGTGAATGCATGTGCTGTTTCAGTCTATGGGACTGGACTGATGAGCACCACCACCACCGCCAACAACAACAACAACAACAACAACAACAACAACAACAACAACAACAACAACAACAACAACAACAGCAGCAGCAGCAACACGGCCGTCAAATGGTAAAAAAGATGTTGCGAGACATTAATATATTGTGCTCGTTGAGATTCGTGTATGTTGTCCGAATCTTGTCGCATGGTGTAGATGTATCAAAACGCTTCCCAGCGACAAGAGTAACCATTCAAAATAGTAGTTCAAATTGCGCCGTTCAGCTCGTTTTCGCGTGAGGATACTTGCACGTTCGCAAAAGAGAACGGCATGGGTGCCACGGCACCTTGCTCGGGTACTGACACAACTAATGATGGTCTGTCGCACACGATCGCACTTCTCGAGTTTTCTAGGGCGTTTGGTGGCTCGTGTCGCTATAGTTTGTGGTCGGAAAGTGCTTCCCTATTTTGGGGGTGTTTGCTTTGCGGTGAAAACGCCACCAACGTGTGGGGTGCATGGTCGGGATGTTCTGTAGGTGCGGTGAATTGCATCAGCTGCGTTGTGTCCCTGTCACGCCTTCCGCCTACCGAGTATCGCAAAGGTGTTGGGGACGATGTGTGCCGAGGTCGAAAAAAGTGGGGTACTGTTTGTTCCCCATGTGCAGTACGTATCGATGTTGCCAGCAAACGGCACCAATGGTTACAGCGTGTACAGATCCGCCCCCGTCGCCGCCCCGCCCTAACCTCTCTCGGGTCCCCTCGCGGCCTCAACTTTCCCGGCCCTCAACTCCTAGGTATGCCGAGCTAGAAAACATGCTCGAGGACTCGGCGGAAGCTCTTCGACGGGGCAACGTGCTCCTACATAGCCAACAGGTTGGTCTGCTTTCGTATGAAGAGTGTTTCCAGAAGAAAGGTAAGGGACGAGTTGGATAACGACTCGGTATGTTTGGGATTCTCGTTCATGGATAGTCGATCGTATGAGCCTTTCCACGTGGATCTCGGTTATTCTGGCGATGGGGAAGGGGCAGAGTTTTTTTCCAATGCCAAGGCGACAATAAATGGTGCCGACAAGGGAAACGACAGCAGCATCGACGCTAACAACATCCACGACAACAATATCAACGAGAACAATGAAGAAAACAGTATCAACGGCATATGTTGAGAGATTGGTGCGGGACGGTCATTCCCGAAACCCTCAGGCTTCTTCCGGCACGAGGAATCGGACATATCGTATTGCTGACAAACCTCCCCCCTTTCGATCTGGTTCACCCTAACCTCGCTACCTCACCCAGCTCAAGACAGACGCCCAGGCAAGACAGATCAAGCGTCAGGATGAGGACCTCGCAACCCTCCGGGAGGAGCGAGAGACGCAGCTGGTGAGTCCCACGCAAAGCATTACAGCTTTATGTCTCGAAAAACCCCACGGGCTATCCACCGGATTGTGAAAATCAATATCGCCTGCTCCATTGATTGCTCTCGGTTGTTTAGGGGGCAAGGGGAGCCGGTCTGTTTTTTTTCTAGTTGAGAGAACGATGTGTTCTTTATAAAACCAAAAAGCATTGACTAGACATCAATCGCGACATGGATGCTGACATGCAGGCGAAGGCGGATCGGAACGCCACGGAACTCGCGCAAGTCTTGAGGCGGGAGAGGGCCGGGCAGAGCAGCATCGCCGACGCACAGGTCGAAGTGGGCGACTTGAAGGCAGAGCTAGCCGAGATGCGGGATGCATTTGCAAAGTGAGCTTCCTCTGCTTTAATGTTATTATAGGCAGTCAGCGGTTGATTGATGGGACACCATTGCGATAAATAGAGTTGTGGTGCTCTTGAGGCTCTGTAGAGTCCGGGAAGCGAATACACCATGTCTCGTTCAAGCTCGTTTTTGAGTGCGCGCGGACGAGAAACCGCTTGTCTAGTTCGAACTCAATGCATTTCGTGATCGACAGGTTTTTTGTTGTTTGAATTTTCCTCCACAGTTAGAACAACCGTGCCTTGTTTAGTATTACCCGGGCTAGGAGAGTTCGCGACGGGGAAGCCTTTCAGACGAAACGTTCATCGCACGAGTTGGTGGTTTCACCAGTCACACAAAAGGAATTTCTTGCCTGGCGTGAATGGTTGGGATGTTTTAGCATGGAACAAAGATTGGGGTTTCTTCCGGCGATTGAAGGCCAACTGCGACCCACCCAACTGCTCCCTGTTCTCGCTTTTCCAGGCATAGGGGTGTGGTTCGCAAGAGCCAAGAGGTCATCAACGCGCACGAGAAGGCCCTCAAGAACGCACGGTGAGCCCATTCAAGAAACAAGAATACTGAGCAAGTGAAATGAGCAGCAATTTTTGTGTATCAGCCAGTCCGCTGGAGAACAGAACAACGGCGACAAGATCGTCAAGGTTCGTTTGCTTTTGCTAGTAAATGCAAGAGGTGTGCTCAGGGTGGAAAAAGAGTGAGAGAACTCTCGCAACTCACAGGAGGTGATACGCTTTTGTTGCAGACTTACGTTCTCCTCTATGTGGGATGGTCGCCGGTGATCGTCTTTGCTTGTATTATTTTTCCATGTTCAGTGCTGCGGGTATGTGCGAGGCAAACAAATCAGCAAAAGTATCAGTACAGCGCTCGGCCGTCTCACCTTGACAGGTCAGAGCTCTTGTCCCTATCCCTCGAGGCCGACAAGCAGTCCTCCCGGCACCACCAAGCATCCGCTGAGGCTGCTACGGAGACGGCGAGGTTTGTGGTCTTGGAAATCATATTGAAATCTGCGATGACCGAGAAATGACGCTGTTTAAAGTCTGACGAGGGGCTGGTGGATTTCGGGCATCCTGTTCATTACTACGGGAGGCTTTGGTTTTTTCACGGCAGCCGTCGGGGACGCGACCGTTTCCGTGTATGCTCTGAGGAAGACGGGACGTTCCCCGAATATACGGTGGAACATTCTCGTCCGTGTTGTTAACGGTTCAACAACGGCCTTGGTTGTGGTTCCAGGCAAGACACAAACGCGGTTGCGCCACCTGCAGAAGAATCGGACAATCATCAGTCAACTTCAATAGCGCCTAATACTTCCCACAAAAGGGGACTAGTTTTTCATCGCTTAGACGTTACCTTGGCATGCAGACTATCTCAAATATATTGGTTCGTGTGTCCATATTGTCGACCACCGCATGTGTCGATCGTTACTGCTTCACAGTTCAGGCCAAAGTTTGATAACATGTTCCGAAGTAGCGCAGCAACAGTATAGCCGTGTCGTTTCCGCCAACAATATCATTATCATGAGGATCACTAGGGTATCTTTCGCATTTTTACAGCTGCGGAGTGTTGGCATCATCCTGTACTAGTTGTTGTCGTTCCCTTTCATGAAACATGTTCTATGCGCTGCTTTACGTACAGACAAAGCCACCGTTTTGCAGATAGCGTCAACGTGGCGGTTCTGAGGAAGATGATCAAATTATTCCTGGGGTATTTGCTCCTGTCTTTGACCTGCCGCAAAACAGCATCGCAAGAGGAAAGCTGTCCTGTCTCCGTGGCTGGGAGGAAATCAGTCCCTGTAGATCGTGGCTTGTCGGCATCAAGAGGATTTGGTCTAGAATCAACAGGATCCTCAGCTCGGGAAACTCTAGTATTGCAGAACCGGTCGTTCGTTTGAGTACGTCGGGACACCGTTTCCTTCAATATTTTCACCCGCTCCACCGTTTGCCTTTCCCTCATATCAGAGCAACAGCTGACAAAAACGCTGCTCTTCGCGAGTCCCGTGCCTTGAGGATCGAGAAGGAGGGACTCAAGGACAAGCTGGAGGAAGCCGGGCGCAAGTTGGACGAACTCCAAGCCCAGCGATCGGTACGAAACAAGTGATAGGATCGTGGCTTTGGTGTTTCTTTGGTTTGGTATCGAAGACTGTTTTCGTTCACCGTTGTGGAGAAAGTATTGTATCTTCGATTTTCGCTTGTCGTCGACACTATCGGTCTTGCTTCGAAGGCTGTTGACGCTGTTGTCGTGTCTGCTCATTTTGAGAGTGTTTGATGCACACAATTTTCGTTTGTAATCCTGTCATTCTTGCCTTTGTATCTGCAACCCGAAACAAGCGTTGTCGGTACTTCGGACCAATCCAACAAGCAGTAGACATCGGACCTAACCCTGAACATCAACGCTCTCATGACTTCGCATATTGTGAATTCGATATTGTTGTGACTTGTGAACAAACCATCAATGGAAAACGATACCACACCTCATCGTGAAATAGGTTCCATCCTAAGCAACAAGGGCGTAGCCCGGGATTTCGAACACTTTTCATCGCCCACCGGAGGTTTTTGACCCACGTTATTCGCAAAACGTTCCTGTGAGCAACATTAGCTTTACCTTTCATCTCCCTGCCCTTGAAAACCGCCACGATGGCAGGGCACCCTCGTTGTCAGTCACCACAAAAGAATCCCTCTCAGGCCGTGGGCTGTTGTATCTTTGTCAGGAGTTAGGTGCGGCGATGGAGGCCGTGGCGGCCAGGAATAGCGCCGCCGTTCAAGGAGGGCACAGCAACAGCGGTCCGCAGCAACACACCTACCCGAAGCCCAACAGCGATAGCTCATCACAAGTTGCCACTCGAGGCCGCCGCCAACAAGACTTCGAGAAACACCCGGAATGTACCTACGACAACGGGAGCTCCAACGCCCCACAGGTTCAGATCGACAACTTCCCTCGGCAGCAGCAAGGGAGAAGCTCACCCCCGTCATTATCGGTCCACACTAGCCTCGGCACCACCACGCAGGGGGGGGCTTCTTCTTCCCTCCGGCGCTCGTACCGGGTGGCATCCGCTGAAGAAGCAGCAGAGGGACAAAAATTGTCGTCGACACATCGACCCTCGAGCAAATCGGTTTTGTCTCGCCAAGCAGAACCGGAATCTCCGCGCGAAGGCGCGCTCAAGTCAACGAACGGGCGCACCGACAACAACCACAGTCTTCCTTCCTCTTCTCCCTTCCCGGCAGCCGGGGTGGGTCGGGTTGCTTCCGCCAGCCCTGCCACGTCTGCTGCAGATGCCGGTGGCGGCGGCGGGAGCGGCACCGACCGCCGCAAAGGCGGGGAAGGTGATGCCGGCCGCATAGGTGGCACCCAGAACATCGACCCCGACGTAACCGCTGTTTCGCACAACCGTGGCCCCAACAATGTCTTAGACGGAGCAGGAAGGCGGGGGCAAAGTGACGGAACAGGTATTGTTGACGGCGGCCGAACGGGAGCTTCCGGCCTACGCTCCCGCTCGAGGCTCCGCTCGCCAGCTGGTAACGACTACTCGAACGATGGATCGGAAGCTGTTCGTGCGGCTCGAGTAGATGTGGATGGCTCTGACGATGCCGGAAGCAAGCGGAAGAGAGCAAAAACAGGCCCTTTGGAAGCGGATGCTGCTGCTGCAGCAGCAGCAGCCGGCGCTGGGGGTTTGACGGATTCATTGTCCCCTCCCCTGCTGTCTGGTGCGACTACATCGAGTCGCTTGAGCCACTTCGATGCCGGGAACAACAGGCCCGGAGAGGTGCGTAACTGCGAATAGCGAATCATGTTTGGGACTCGTCGATAGATGTCATCCTATTGGGTGACGTAGTCGGTGGAGTTGCAGGCACAATTTTATTGTCGTTTGCATGTGCCGACACGTTCTGGCAGCTCCCGGAAAGAGGAGCTGGATAGGCGGAAGCCTACATGTATTAACACGAATGTATACCTTCTGATGCATGACCACTTGCGTTTCCTTTGGAAGTGCTCCTCCCACACCCTCACTTGAGAGAAGGAGCAGTAACTCCCGGCGTGGCACAACGTCACCGACGCTGGAAAGCGCTCTTCGACCGCATCAACCCTGTAACCACACGTGAACACACTCCGTGGACACGAATACCGCATCATGTTTGGGACTCATCGATAGATGTCATCCTATTGGGTGACGTAGTCGGTGGAGTTGCAGGCACAATTTTATTGTCGTTTGCATGTGCCGACACGTTCTGGCAGCTCCCGGAAAGAGGAGCTGGATAGGCGGAAGCCTACATGTATTAACACGAATGTATACCTTCTGATGCATGACCACTTGCGTTTCCTTTGGAAGTGCTCCTCCCACACCCTCACTTGAGAGAAGGAGCAGTAACTCCCGGCGTGGCACAACGTCACCGACGCTGGAAAGCGCTCTTCGACCGCATCAACCCTGTAACCACATGTGAACACACTCCGTGGACACTTATCAGTCCAGGGCAACAGCATCACACGAACCTAAGGACTTTGGCATGAAGTCTGCACATTCCTTTTAACTGTGGAGATTTGCCTTCCCTAGTGCACGCACCCGCTGCCCAAAAAATACACCCGCGGAAGCTCCAATAATGTTCCCGGGCCAAATGTACTCGCGCACTTTCGTTGCGCTTATCAACAAGAAGGCAGTCCAAGTCCAGGGCAAGGGTGGCGACTCCACCCTCGAGGGGGTTTGCCCCTCATGCGGCGACACCCCCTATGGCCTCATGATCAACTGCAGCGGCTGCGCTCGGCAGTACCACAGCTCCTGCGTTCCAGACGGGCAGAAGGTGGGCAAGGGGCTGGGGGCAACTGTGTTCCTCTGCTCCAAATGCAGCGGCAACGACTGATGACTACCCGCCCGGCTTCCTTTACGTTCGTTACCAGTTCGTAGTCTCGAAACGGGGAACCGCTCGTCATTCGATTGATTCGGGGCTGGTGTGGAGACTATCAGCCAACTTCTCGTCGTTGTTTCACCTTTCGGGGGGGAGCGTTCTCGTAGAGTACGAACGAAATTATTGATACAAGCACTTGTTCTATGCTGCATGCCCGCCAACAAATCAGACGGAGGGCGGGGGGGAGGTGCACATTTTGTATTGAACGCCATCATGCTTCGGAAATTGACCTCGCATCCCTTCAAAGCCCTGCCGGAGCAATCGGGGGTTTGCCGAACAGGCTGGAGCATCGTGTGGCATATGGTGAATCCGGTGCAGGGCGGGGTAGGGGAGGGTCGTTGGACGGAAGGCGAGCCGATCCACCTTTCTGTACGTTTCAGCCGAGACGCATTCGATTGTACCGTCAGTTCCCGGTTGAGAATCATGTCTTCGCTGATTGGCTCGGTTTCGTTGCTGAAGGAGTGGGTGGTGGCCGCCAGGGAGATTGCTTCAGATAGTCCATCAGACTAGTGTGTATAGCGGCCGCGATGTGCTCTAGTGCGGGTTCAAGACGACGTCGGAAGCTCCGAACACGTGCGCTTTGAATGGTATTCGGTCGTTCTGCGCCTGCCTACCCCCAAACGTTCTGCTGTGTATGAACGTGTAGGCGGATACAGCTTGGTTGAAAGCGGCTATGGGGTTGTGTAGGCGTCCGCGAGAATCTGCAAAGGGTACGGTACAGTATCATACCAGACATCAGGCTACTTAGACTGGATGCACCGACGCTTGAGTGAGACTACATGGCAGCTTCGTGTGAAATCTTCTGCGGTCATGTAGTCAGTTACTTTCGTGAAGGTACCAAAACGCACGAGACACCGCCTGGCACCCGGGCGGTGTGAACCTTCTTGAATACTTTGCACTCAAAGCTTCCCGGCCGAGTTTGAGTCATCGGTAAAATTCGACTTTCGATGACTGCGGTTGACTGCGGGTGCCTGCGAGTCTGGATGAGTTCTACACTACTCGTATCGTAGGGAATGCACTCCTCGCATCCTACGGAAACCGACGTGAATATCAATCAAATTACCTGCAATAGGGACGGTCGCACAATGGCATTCGTGTCTGGAGCACCCTTCATCTCAGCTCCCGGAGACTACGTGGTTTGGCCGTGCTGTATTTTCTATCCATAGGTCCATGTAGGAAGCACGCGTCTACTGTAGCCTACGGCCAGCAAGAACGCCCTAGTTGAAAGAGAAACGATCGGCGGGCTGGAACGCGTTCACAAACGCACCTTTATACTCTATCAACCCCTTTGGAGTCCCCGATGTTGTCGAGGCACGGATGAGAAGAAACCGTTCCATATCAACCCGTGTTTTCCTACAGTACCCCAACTCTCCCATTTCAAGATCGCTTGGGGGGTAGGTGTGTCGGCCAGACCACACGGTCGTGAAACTGCGTCTAGAAATGGACACATCTTCTTGTTTGGAGAAGATTATGTTCCAATGGAGGCAGTCGTTCTGTCCAGACACCCTCTGTTAAACGAGGTGCTGGAGCTTCACGCTAAAATAATTTTTTCAAAATCCTAACCACCCCTCTGTCTGGCTACGGGAGGGGCTTCAAATCCGAAACCCGACTTTGGACATGCATCCCTGTCCCCGACCCTCAAACCAAACCCCCCACCCTAGATCGCGGCAGGGGAAAATGGAGATGGGGGAGATTGTGAGCTGAACCGATCTTCTGAGAGGATGAATCTCCGTACACCCATTGCCCCTCGCCTTGCCGCGGTCCAAACCACGACGGACACGTGCCTCGCAAGCCCTGATACGGCGAGGGTACGGACAGTGAACCAGAAGAATATGCATCCTGAAATTCTTGCTTCCCTGAAAGCATTTTTACCACAGACTAAGCAACACGTTTTCGAGACGGTGCAGGAAAAGGGACAGAGGCGAGGGCCTTAAGGGCGGGGTAGGTGGGTGAGGGATGTGCGGTGGGAAGGCGTGGTGGCCGTATGGACGGGTTTACTCTGGAGAAAATGGGACCATCTCGGTCATTTAGGCGGGAGTGTTCCGAGGTGGAAGGGAAGGTACGTAGGAAAGGGTGCTTGCCAATATTGGATGTGTAAATATGTTCAAGCTTGTCACAACAGCCAGCGCTTAACTCGAAACTCTACAGAAGCCGTACTTATTCGTGTAGTGCCGACTGTGCCTCTACACTGGTTTGTGTGATTGCAGTGGTGTGCATGCATTTTTCACATGATAGGACCCCGTTGGCATGCAGGGTATTGTTGACTGCTAGCAACAATCTTCGCTTCGTTGGATGCCATCGGCATCCATCGTGCGCACGGATCACCAGCGAAACAAACACAACGAAAAATAGCGACGCAAGTGGCCTCCTGTTCTTGTTTCTACACGTACTTGATATCTTCGTACTTACCGTACGAGGAACGGGCAATGGAATATGCAGCCTTCCGCGAATAGGTCAAAATCTTGTCCACTTTTTCGAGCCTCTCGAGGACAAGATCACTTGTCAATAGAGACAGGTCGCTCCCTCCGTCGCTGCCACTGCTCATGTTCAACGTGAAGGATGATTCGGTGCTTTCGCTGCTACTGCTGCTGCTGCCGCTGCTGCTGCTGCCGCTGCTGCTGCTTCTGCTGCTGCCCCTGCCGCTGCCCCTGCTGCCGATGTTTCTTCTGCTCCTGGTGCGGCTAATATTGCTTCTCTCTAGATGGCGACCAGGACGGGGCAAACGTAGGGCCGGAAAAGAACACCTTATGAGGACAATGGTCGATGAAGAAAAATGGTGTCTCCTCAGACAATCGACGTTGATACTGCTGTTTCTGCCCTGTCGTTGGGCAGCAATCCGTTATGGCCAACGCAACTTGAACTACACCTCTGATCGACTTGAACAGTACCACCATTTTCACCTCACGCGACAAGAAACGTTCACAGAAAACACGACGAGGAGGGGGGCGAAAGCTCGGCACAAACAATGTCCGGTAAACCACCTTTCAGTTCAACGAGAGGTGCTAATATCTCTACCTCTTGTTGTTCGTTCAAGAACACCCCACGTGTAGCCTTTCACTCACCAGCACTATGCGGTTTGATGAGTAGAGCCATTTCAACGTCTTCTCCCTCGCCAGGGTACGTAAGCGAGGACGACGTGCTGCTCTTCCTTCTCCCCCTCGCAGATCTTCTTGTTGTCTCAGTCCCTTGGATAAACAAGCGGGAGAGTGATCACCTTGTTCAGAACTTTGGAGCGGCTGATAGCGCGTGCGGGAGGACAAGTGAAAAAATTGCACATATTTTGCAGATGTGGGCTGGACAATCGAGGCTTTTGGACTCCTCTTCCTCATTCCAGTCGCATTACTATTGACACCCTCCCCTTGCTCTGCTGTAGAATATTGCAGTGTTCCCGTCGAATATCGTTACTTGCAAGTGTCGAGCCTCCTCCTCGCCTGTCTTGGAACCCTCCTGTGGCATCACTACAACGGAAAGGCACCCGCAGAAAAATGGCCGGACCACGGGCTAGGCAACTGTGAAACATGCGCAAAACGATGCAGGTAGTTCGCCCACCCCTACCTCGTGGGGGCCGTCGGGCACGCCTAGCTTGCCGCGCGTTGAGGGCTTGAACCTCGCCCGCCAGCATCTTCCGGCCTTCCTCGGAAACCATCATTCGTCGGAATCTCAACTCCATCGACATCGTCCAGCTGTCTCCGCTCGATGAAGATGTGTCGGGCGACTCCGTTGAGGAGGGAGAGGAAGATCTTCCCTTATCATCGTTCCTTCGGAGGGAGCCTCCTTGATATTCAGGTTAGTTAAGCGGGATCGTTGACAAGGACAGAGCTCGGAGTTGGGGCTGGGTGCCCGACAGTGTAGTGTCGACGAGAAAGAAGGCCAATAACCACCGATAACCCTCCATGAGGATGCCCAATTCGTGCAAAAATGGTGAAAAATACCCTGATAGGTCAGGGAAACGGCAGGCTAGGGTCTCCATTATACTGGCTTGGTCCACCCGGTCTACGCAATGCTCACTACAGCAGGCTCACCCGACACTGAGATCGATGCAGAGGAAGTCGAATCAGTCTCCGACGAAGAGCTCGTCGACGTTCCACCTTCACGTGGCACTCCTCCTTCTCCGGTAGACGAAGACGGTGTCGAGGACGTGCCGGAGCTGCTGCCGGAGCTTGCGCTGCTCCTGTCGCTGTGGCCCTCATATGAGACACGCGGCAGGTCGGTGCCCGCGCTCTTGCTGTTGCGATCATTGCCGCCGGCCGTTTCGACCAAAGTTCCCATCGGTCCACGTGCCCAGACAGACTCTCCCGTCGTGCGATTGCTGGTCGAAAGTACAAATACATGTTCATAAATCACGCTTGTTTGCTGGTGCTCTAGTCTACCGATTTAGATCGAGAGTTAATAGAACCCGAACTATGGTGGGTCCAGCCGGGAGAGCACTCCGTTCGCGCACGGGTCATGATTGTTGATGCTGATGCTGATCTGGACTTCGCCCTACCGGGGGGGGCTGTGTGATGCAAGGATGACATACTGCGGAGCGATCACCTGAACCCTGGCGATACCAGGCAATGTGGCCGGCCAGCGTACGCAAATGCGTGTGGCCAATCGGCCCGATGAAGCAACAACTTGACATGGTGTTTTCGTTGCCTTGACATCAAAACTGTTCTGGTCTGTGTCCATACAACATGTTTCTTGTACGTCCTTTCTTCCGTGCCCTTCAAGGTGCCCATCAAAGGTTGTCTTTTTTCTAGATTATGCTGAAGACTGCACTGCTGTGCACAAGTCATCCAACCAATTATCGTACATGAAAACGAACGTCGTGACAACTACTGAAGTATGGGACAGACGGACGTACTAGTAGAAGGGCAGTCCCGTTGACGAATGATGGAGCTTCCAGCCCCCAACACTGCCGTCGTCGGAAGTTGTTGTCGGCCTTGGCGGCTCCCTTCCCCGACGCCGAACAGGTACGTCGAGATGTCGTCTTCGGCTCTGGTGGTGACCACTGTGCCCCTGGTTCTGATGCCGCTGATCCCCCTGCCCGTCGCGATGCTCTTGGGGTTCGTTTTGGTCACACAGATGCATCCTTTCCCCGCATATATGTATCGTCAGCAGCAACCAAGCACGACAGCGATCGCACCCGTTCACCACGAGTAAGCAGGAAGCGGGGCAGCAGGACGATGTTCGAGTTTATGATCTTGCCGCACTCATTGACTGCAAAGACGACGACGTGTCCTTTGGAACGGACTACTTTCCCGAAAGGGTAGTCTTTCTTTGACATTGTCTTGCACATTTTCATTAATGGAGGTAACACCTATATCTAAAAGGAAGAGCTTTTCCCTGATGCTTGTCGTGTCGACGTCGAAGTCGGAACGGCCATCATTTCCTTCCAAAGGACTTCACCCAACCTCCGGCCACCGCACGACGTAACCAATCGTGCCTTCTCCTGCAACCCGTACCTATTGTCTGTTGAAGGCTATGAAGGTCTCGTTGGAAGGCTTGTCGTTCATGAACGGCCCCGCTCTCTTCGTGACTCGCAGCAATCAACACTACCGTCTTGTGTAGTCTCACGCGTATGCAAGATACGACGCCGGCTTGAAACCGTCACACAGAAAACGTGCGGGGACTCCAATATCCATCTGCGGAGCTCCCTTTGACTCATTCCCCCGCACGGTTGCCAAACCAGCGTCGTAGAGTGTCCGTGCCGACAAGAACTCCCAGTGCCGTGGTAAGCAGGTTGTCTAGGGCAACCACATCAAGTGAGCATGGCTATCTTGATATTCGGGCGCCGGTGCGTGCGGCTGTGCTGCGTTGCAGTGGTTCTTCTGGCGGGGCAGAGGCACGCGGCATTGGGCGACGCTGTTGCCTCGGCGGAAGCCGTGGATTCTTCGAAGGTGTGTTCGTGTGTTGGGGGCGCTCGTGTGTTTGGAGTTGGGCGTGTGGTATGATCCTGCAGGAGTGCTTTCGGTTGCTGTTTGATGGGGTAGAAGCGATAGCAAGGGAGCGGCGGGTGCAGCTGCCTGTGGCCCTGCGGGATTGTCTGGCTTCGCCACAACCGAGAGAGACGGGTGGGTGAAACGTGTGTGCGAGGTCGACTCTCTCCGCACCACACCTGCTGCTGTTTCCAAAAAAGCCGGAGGTCATCATTCCTTGTACTGCTGTAAGCCGAAGGGCAGCAGAAAACAGGAAAGCATCATGAGAGCGGTTCCGTGTGGACTCCGCGCACACATTCGCGTCCCCCCCCCCCTCGTGCACGGTTAGACGGAAGAAGTCGTGAATCTGGTGTGGTACTCAGAATCCCGGGAAGAAGGCAGAGGCGGAGGGTAGAGGAGTAGACTGTTTGCGTGTATAGATACACTAAATAGGTCCGCTAGTGTGCGCGCGTGATCCGAGGCATCTACATTGTATTGTAGGGCTCCTTGGATTTATGCGAAACAAGTTTTGAGCGCCATGCCTCGGAGCGTCCCAGCACTGGTCCCGACTCTCCGCGCTCTGTCCTCTTCTCATCGAAACGGTGTAGACTATTCATGTATTCGTGTACATTACACGTTCTCCTCCCCGCAACTTTAGCGGATGAATACATGACACAGCTGTATGTCCCAACTACGGTTGCGGAGGTTGGCGGGCGGGAGACGGCCATGGGGATAGATAGACACGTACACTCCCGCCCCGCCCCCGAGAAAAGAGTGGGAGCAGAGTAGGAGTTGCGCTGGATCCAAACGTCTCGTTTTCGTCACACACGTCTGCTTCTCATTTCCATTCCCGGCAGTGTTTCTCTTGCGCTCGCTTCTGCCTGTCAGCGGACCTATCCTTCCCTTGAGGAGGTTAAGGTAACGTCACAGAATTACTGCCTGTTCAAGATACTTCATTCGAACTGGATGTGTTCAAGGCTCTTTGGCAAGTGGAACGCCTTAGTTTCTATTAGTAGTAAGAGGCGGGAGGACGATCGTCTGCCACAATTTGGAGGCATACTGTCTCCTTTAACTGCACCTTTTCACAAGCAGTACTGTACGAAACAAAACACTGAAAGTGTAGCACTTTACATAGGCTGAAAAGTGTAGTACACGTCTCACCACGAAAAATGGGGGGACTGTCGCCATAATAATAAATAGGACGAAAACAGCACAACAACAACAACTGCTGAACAACCCTTTAGTTCAAGTGCTTGAAGATGGGGGGGTGTACTCATAGTCCTGCATGCCATAGTCGTTAGACCATTGACCTCGCATCCCTACAAAGCCGGGACGGAGCACGCCGGGTTCTCACCGGACCAGGCTCTCACATCACTTGAAGATGGGGGGTGTACTCATAGTCCTGCATGCCATAGTCGTTAGACCATTGACCTCGCATCCTTACAAAGCCGACACGGAGCACGCCGGGTTCTCACCGGACCAGGCTCTCACATCACTTGA